TGAATACTACTACGTCATGCTATGATGAGCATAGTGCAGAAGACTTGTCATAAAAACACTATGATCCTAATGATCGGTTGAACGCCTTGTGTTAATTGAATATATCAATGCCATAACTGTTTCGATGACCTGCATTTTTACATGAAAGCTGAGACCAGGAATATGTATCGTGCTTTTTATGCTTGTCGGAATCTCGTGGTAGAAAGCCTCAAGTTAGATGTCAATATATGTGCCCAAACACCCACATGCGATCGAAGTATGGGATAATGAAGATTGGAAACGTCAAATCGTTCTCATGGATACATATGAACCACAAATTGGATTGTGGAGGAAGAGATATACGCACGACATTAAAGGCAGGACGATTTGGGTTATAATGCTGATCAAATGTTTTCAAATGAAATTAGGACAAAAATACCTATAAACATAGAGAGTAAGACGACATGTGCTAGAAAAAGTAAAATATAACTAAGAACTGAGCATGGAGAAGCAAACACTTAGTTTACTGAATATTAAATGTGATTTCCTTCCCCCTCACTGATTACTGCTCCGGAAGCACTGATAGACTGCATATAATTGCTATCTAGTTATAAATATTATCTCGTGTTATTCTGTTTCTTGAACCCTGATCTGATATAACGTGACTAGTCCTATTATTGTATTAGTTTCTCGTCGTATTATGCCTGAGAACTAATAAATTTAACAAACTAACCGTTATATTTAAAAAAATTCTCACACAAGTCATAAGCCAAGAACAAATTTCACTTTTTCCAAGAACTCAAACCTGACAATGAAAGGCTTGTAGTGGTAAATATGATATGAACCAAATGTCTGGCCTCGCAACAGTCCGCCCTCTAGTATCCTGAGGCCATTTGCAGAAATAAATGAATACTTTTGAAGCAATGACGAAACACGTGTGGGGATAATCAGAATATACATATTTCGTAATCAGTTTTTGTCACTAATTGTATTTCTTTCATTAATTCTCATAATTGATCAAAGTACTAATATGTCTGTGAAAAATTGTTTAAAAAACATGACACTGACTCTCCCGTTCCGTTTTTTATTCCCGCATAACATGACACGCTGGTTCTCGCTCACAAATACACTACTGCACACAAATGTTCCTTCTTCCCAATTACCGATTGTTATGATGACAGAACTCTAATATATTTGCAATCTACAATCACATATCACAGTGATATTTTCACTATAAATGAAATTATCAACTACTTGTAACTGCGGATTACCAGTCCAAAAGAAATTCGAACGCGCCATAACCGGATAACTTAAATAACGTCCTGTACATTTATTCTGTGTATAATTTATATTTGATATATTAACACATTAATTTTTGACGCAATAACTGTATCATTATTGTTGTAATTGATATATTTTTGGTCCACCACACACGATACTGAAGTATATCAAAAATGACAAGTCTCTACGCGAAACGTTCCTCAAAAACGACTATTTAAATGATAAAATAAAGCATTTCCAAGCAATTCTCAATTAATAAATTACATGACAAAAAGTAATTTACAAGCAGAAACATATTAAGAAAACAAATTCAAAAGGACCCCTATATGAATTTACAGTTACATAAACAAGTTATAGTTCGATACATAGACACTTTACAGGATCAATGAAACAAATTCTGATGGACCCAACCAAAATCATATTGAGGAGATATATATATTGTCTAGATATACAAAAATCATTTTTTCCGTAGTGTCTAATGCTAATTTTTTTTCCAAAAAAAATTGTAGATCAACTGATTTATCTTAGAGCAAGATTCCTGTTTTAATTAAAGAGTGATTTCCAAACAGAAAATTAAAACAACCAAATGTTTGTAGATTAGTTAAAGGTAATTCGCACCGTCGGGCAGAGTCAATATGATGCATTAGTCGCTTCATTCTAGATCGTAAGCAGAATTGACCAATATTATTGCTGAAAACACACCATCCATGACCCTTCTTTAGTGATAACCATTTAAAAGTTATGGTATTTATTTTAACACAGATATTGGTACAACGAGGCACCAAATGCATATGCGCAACACAAATCTCAGTCGATGTGTGATGGCTGTGATACTACCCGGGTGCCCAAACCGAAGCAGGTGGTTTTCTTAGGGGGCCACACCCCGAGCCTTCGACCTGAAGGTCTGATCCACAAGGCAGGGGAGCATCGTAAGGAGATGCATTCCCATGGTAGTCGATGACCAACAATTGGTTCATACACCATTTGTTCCATCAGGATACTGGAGCCCATGTTCACCATTAGTTTTGGAATCCGGTTAAAGCGCCGGACATTCGCTTTTCGTCCTATCATTTTTGTAAACAACACCCCCACCACGAGAATGCAATGAGTAGGACTTCCCTGGTAGAGGCTACATACTCGTGGCCATGTGAGAACATTTCGAGAGGGAGAGCGGACTCTCCCCACTCTCGGCCGTGCCAGGGCATTCGGGGGCAAAAGTTATGGTCTGAATGTAGTGTTTTAGCCAAAGCTGTGTTGTACACGCCGCCGGAACTCATTGTCTTTATAATTATTGTATTACAAGCAAATCGAACCGTTAAGCTCCTGCACGGAGGTTTATACCAAAACTTACTATGTAACAATGAAGGGGACAGTTGGGATCTGAATTCTAATCACGTGAAAAGTAATTCAGCGTTCGGAAGTATAGATAGCTTCTGGCAGACAGTTCATTAAGGGAATGCAGGGTTGGAATATTTGTAAGTAAGATTTAGATAAGAAAACATAAATGCATTGTGCGCTAATATATTATTGTCACACTAATTTCTAGACTGACAAATAATAGGCTCGAAGTAATTCACGATACCTAAGGATAAAGTCGTTTCTTATAATCCCAGGATAAACAGCTTGTTCTGAAAATACTTGGAATCTAATAGACAATAGGAAAACTTAGAAACAGTTAACACAGAAAGCACTGACTTCATCGCCATCTCAGAAACATGGCTAACAGTATGTGTCAGAGATGTAGTATTAGGTATCATACTGTGCTGAAAATGTACACTAACAATAAGAGCTATCGCCACAGTGGTGCACGTCTCAGCAACGTGTGGATCGGTGCTCCGCCAAAAGGTATAGTAGGTGATTTCGTGCCAACGTGTAACATTCTCCGAAACAAATAGATATGGACTAGTTTTCCAAAAGTTTAAAATTAGCGAAAAAACGCGGTCCAAGGTGCGAATATGGAGAAGGGTCTGGAATAGGAAGAGACGCGTGTCCTGGATTTCACTGCTAGACACTATTTATCGAAGTATTTCTAGTTGCATTTCCAAGAGGACTTTCAAAATTTGGGACGTTAATACTGCTTATACACATCTGAACTTGTCCTACTGAATAGGTTAGAATGATTTACAAGCAACTGTAATATAAATGCCGTTCCAGTTAAAAACGAAATTTCAGGTTGATTTAACTGTTACTGGTGTGAATCATCTGATGGTGATTGGTTGATCTCCGTTTAATAACACAGTCAAGGTGTAAAGGTATATTATGTTATCAAGACAAACTCTCTAACCGCTGGCTGAATAGCTAAGCATATTCATTAATTACACATGAATCACGTAAAACAACTAGATTTAAGCAACAACAGAGATATTTCTCATATCTTGACAGATATGATAGAAGGCAACATATGAATGTAAATTACAGTTGGAATTTCGATCTCGATTTCTAAGGTAAAATATGTTGTACAATCCACTCATAGCAATCAATGAGTATTTAGGTTACATGTTTCGTTATTGTTTAAATCCTGATGATAGCTATATTTCCCATTGAGATCGAGTGGATTATACAGGGTTGTATTTATGCGACTAACGATCAGTATCAGATAGGATTATTAAGTGTTGATTTGAACGTTCATAATTTCTAAGATTTCAACTGACCAAAAATTAACAGAGACGGTTGACAGCATTCAACAATCCATGATGAAGCAATATACCACTCAATTCAAATCCAGAATGCTAAACAAACGTTCACAAAAATAATTTTCGACTGACATCCATGAATGCAGTGAACACATTGCACATGAGGAATGATAAAATAATCGAACATAAATGCAGAGTTACTTCATAAGACTCATGCGTTTTAATGTTTAAAGAAATTTCAGTTTTTTGATGTCAAAACCACATCATGTGTTCTGCAGAAGCATATTCTTCCATGATTAGACCACTATGCTCTTGGAATTTTTTCGTTGTATTTATGTATAGATTTATTGAAAGGCCAAATATGTTACGAGAAAACAATATTGGAAGTACCTATGTGACTGTCATTCTTAGGCATACAATAATGCATTTTGTTAAATACATTAATAATGCCAACAATTGGTTGGGGTGGTGCATTTAACAGAGTAAAGTATTCTTACCGAATTGTCTCGAATAAGTTTAGAGAATCGGATGACAGAAGTGTTTCGCCCACTTTTACTTTCGAATCACATCATAACTTTATGGATGGTAGGGGGATGTTTAAACATATGTATAATGAAACAATAACATAGGTACAATATGAAAGAGTGAAGAGGAACTGGAAGCAACTAGAATAGCAAAAATATGATAACGTGAATGTTTGCATAAAACAGTGTATCATTTTTTCGATCCTTTAAATATGTATGGAACGCTGGCGAAACACATCCATTTCAGAAGCGTGAACATACCGAAATATTACCATAGTAATTTGACGAAATACGTTCGTCTTATCAGGCGAACATTCAAAAAATAGAAAACGGAAACTGAAACAAGGTAGTTAGTCATCAGTGACAATGAATAAAAAAAAAGAACATCTGAGATATTTTCAAAGTGCAGAATGCTGTAAAATACAAACAAGTCCAGTATGGATTTGTTGTAAAGAGAAAAAGTAACAAATTAGAATGAAACAATCGTTGCAAATTATGAACGAAAATAAAACTGGTTTGTTAGAAAGCCCACAGAATGCAAACACACATACACACACGAGCAACAGCATACAAGTAGGGAAAATTAAGCCAAATATTCATAAGCATCTCGTTCATTGTTATCTCGCTTAATATATTCTCTTTCAATGAGAGCGGTAATACATCGCTGAAACATAGAAAATATAAATAATAACAAAAACGTTTGCGTTAAATATGTTTAAAATGATCAAAACTAGTGAACCTAAAAATGTGGAAGTTAAATAGTATTTCATTCGATCTTATTCAGGAGGTACTTAGAATAAACGTTTGTTTTATTATAGTTTCCTGTAGCTGAAATTATTAAATTTACTTTGGCCCAGACTATAATTTATGGACGAACCAATCACGTATAAGATACCATATCTCGAATTTTGGCATTATAGCTGATGTCAGTTCATGATGAAAACCCTTAATCTAATTTCTAATCCAAACCATCAACTATAAATCATAATTGTAATTCCTCACACAGGTTTATAACCCTCCTGGTTATTAGGTGGACACTCACAAAGTCACTTTAGCGTCACCCAAAGGTCGTCCATAAATTATAGTCTCACCTTACTTTGATTTATTATTTACAATATTGTTTCTCGAAACAAATAAATTAGGTTTAAAATCATTTTGGTCATACTTAATTGCAATCATGGAAGACATACAATGATAATGATTGGGAAATGTGGAGCATAAGTAGTAAGCAAACGAGACAGATTGGCATTTTAGTCATATAACAGTAACACCTTTAATCTGACCTGATTTTGTACGATGAAAATTCAAACTTGTTGATATTTTATGTTGTTACGACAGTGAATTCAGAGAATTAGCCCACTTCAGCATTTTAAATTATTTTAATAAAATCTAAATACAAATTACACAATTAATTTTCAAAGGATTTTATTTATTTATTTATTTTAACACATAGATATTGGTACAAGGAGGCACCAAATACATATGCGCAACACAAATCATTCGATTTGTGCGAGGGCTGGGATACTGTCCGGGTGCCCAAACCGAAGCGGGTGGTTTTCTTAGGGGGCCACACCTGGAGCCTTTGACCGGACGGTCTGATACACAAGGCAATGAAGCATCGTAAGGAGATGCAGTCCGATGGTAGTCGGTGACCAACAACTGGTTCATACGGCATTTGTTCCTTTAGGACCCTGGAGCCCATGTTCACCATTGGTTTGGAATCAGGGTTTTCCAACTCCGCTAGACGGATCCTTCGTAACCACCAATCCGGTTAAAGCGCCGGACATTCGCTTTTCGTTCTCTCGGTTTCGTAAACAACAACCCCGCCACGAGAAGGCAGTGAGTAGGACTTCCCAGGCAGAGGCTACATACGCGTGGCCATGTGAGAGCATTTCGAGAGGGAGAGCGAACTCTCCCCACTCTCGGCTGTACCAGGGCATTTGGGGTCTAACGGATTTGAACACATTTGGCACTGTAAATTTCAAAAAGCTAGTCGTCTACTTCAAAAACGAGGGTGCTGATGTTGTCCAGAACGACATGAAAGTACCACATCTAAACTATTTAAATTAGATGGCTAAACTCCATCAAATGTGCCACATATAAACCGCATGTTGATAAGACTGTGTACATTCATCGAATGAGGTGGCTGAGACACGTATTTCACATATCTAGTGAATGTATACACTGGTTGGCTATACCAGGTCGATAAGAGTCCCCCAAGAAGGTTGCATGCGAAGAAAACATGATATGTGCAACAACACATTAAATCACTGACTGCTCACTTAGATATCGTCAACATGTGCAAAATTTTATGATTGAGATTAGTGAAATAATTGTAGTTGTCGTAGTTGGAGAGTGGGTTTCAATTCACTGATAGGTGATGCAAACATTATTTTGTTTTATTTTGCCTTGCACCAGCGATTCTATTTACTCTTGTGATTTGTATTTCCAGCTTCATTATTCAGTAAAGTTTTTTATGTTATTTCTGTTCGTTTTCCATTTAATGTGATAATTTTCCCTCGATTTGTTGATGTAAAGTACGGGAGGTTGGAGCGATATACATTTGTAAACAAAAACTCATTTTGATATCTGATGTCTTTAAAGACTAATATTAGCATTGAAACGTTTATATATGACTGAATCATCTATGAATACATAAATATTCTTCAACTGCGTGGACCAAGTCCACTGGTAAAGAGAATTTATTTATTCATATAAGGAAAATTTATCTGAACGAAAATTAACAAGTAAAATTCCTATCCTTGAATTTAAGCTACAATTTAGATGTGGAAATTAGTAATAATATCCAATTGCACAAACCGAGAGTCTAAGTCAAGTTGGCTACCTATGATTAAGGTAGTTGGGATGATAGTTGAACTATCTAAGAAATTCAGAAACAATTTTTAGAAATATTATCAGCGTTTAGGATTTATGAAATTATAAACTGTGAAGCAAGAAATTGATGATATTCTATTCATTTTCGTATATACGCCAGCCAGTTCGACTATGGAGGGTACTGAATGATAAAAAGAGGAAATGTTTATACTATCTACTAATTATAACATCAAATAATGATCTTCTTTTTCATATATATTACTAAACAAAACTTACTTTAATTAATAATACAGTGGGTTTAAATCGAGGTGTTAATTGTGTAACAACTTCCGAGATCAATTGATGGTGTTTCATTACTTTTCTAGTCTTCATAATACGTACTATACAAGCCTATAGGGAAAAAGAGAACAAAAGTGAGGATTAAAATGGATTGACACATTAAACTCAAGACTTATTTCATTTCGAACGTATAACTTGGCTTAGTGGTGAAGAAGCTGGAGACAGATAAGTTGATCAGAATCTATACTTAAAACACGGTCGGATTCTTAAACACCATCCAATGTAGACTGATCATATTTTGTGATACAGTAGATTAAATCGACACACATTTAAACGGATAATTGAGTTCTTCAGAAAATTATATTTTTCTTGGAATGGTTCGGTCGTGGAGCTTTTATTTTTCCTCTAATCAACATTATCATCTCCGCTTATATTAATGAATTTGGACGATTATGGACACACATTTGACTGGAAAAAATTTTGATATCGCTTCCTTTCTTAAAAAACTTCTTAGTTTCATCTCGCCGTGCTAACGTGGATGTAGTAACATCGGCTAGCAAACTCGTGTGTTAAAAGGTTCTTTGTTGATCATGACAAATGAAATAATTATATACAAGCTTTACCAGTTAGCCTTGTATGTTACATAGAATTAATGAGATGAAACTAACATCCTTGTGTCCCTGCGTACATCAAACTAAATGAAATACAGATAGGATTTAGAACTTCATAATTGAAGATTATGTAAGTATTTGTACACCATTAAATCAAAAAGGCTTTTTACGAAAAGTAAATGAAGATATTAACGCACATTTTCATCACACGAAAAAATTAAAATCATAAGTAGATAAAGCATTTTTAGGGATCAACTAACCTGAACAATTAATTTTCGATCAGATTCTACATTCCCTAAAGTCTGTTCAATTTCTTGTTTCGTCTCACTTTTCAAAGGAACATTTAAATAAACTCGAACGCGTTTACTAATGGAATTGAGATTGACAAGGACAACAGCAAAAAGAGAGCAGCAGTAAAGAAACGATAACAAGTAAAAGCACATTATGTTAAATATTATTGAGCATTAGTATTGTATTGGTCTGAACAATCAACAGCAATGAGAACAAAATCTCTGAAATTTTTATAAATATAAACTTCCAGAGAAGTCCTACTCACTGCCTTCTCGCGGCATTACTGTTGTTTACGAAATTGAGAGGACGAAAAGCGAATGTACGGCACTTTAACCCGGTTGGTGGATACGGAGGATCCGTCTAGCGGAGTTGGAAAACCCTGATTCCAAACCAATGGTGAACATGGGCTCCAGGGTCCTAAAGGAACAAATGCCGTATGAACCAATTGTTGGTCACCGACTACCATCGGACTGCATCTCCTTACGATGCTTCATTGCCTTGTGTATCAGACCGTCCGGTCAAAGGCTCCAGGTGTGGCCCCCTAAGAAAAGTTGTTATGAAACCTCAGATAATATGGTTGTTTAAATGTACTTCAGGAAATCGCATGATTAAATATATTTCTATATATAACTATAGTATAGAGTTTTCAACAAGGTTGAGTGCTAAAACAAGATAGATAAAGAGTAGAGGTAACCAGTATATGAAACGGCATTATGGTATAGAAGAAAACTGTACTGTGTTGGCACTGGTCGGTCCAACACAACTCTCCGGTTGAGGTTACTGAGATGGTGCAGTATTGTGAAATGATATTAGACAAGGTTCAGAATAGATTTTAATGGAGATGATGCTATAGTTTTCTTTTACATTCTTCATATAAATGAAAGAAACTATCTTAAGTGTATTTTCGACTGGACTGTATTTACACCTATCTACTACTATTGTTCACTTTTTTCCCCAATACAATCTCTGTACTTGTTTGATGCATCCTACTTTCTATCCCTGCTTGTGTCAGATCTACACAAATTTTATAAGAGAGCTTTTATCTATTCATGAATAAATAAATGTATTATGCAGAAACCAATTATATTTGGATTCTTAAATAACATTTCCTCCTCCAAAATAGAGCAGCAGAACTGTTCGCTGAGTAGGTTTCCATTAAAACTATGTTATTTACATAATCCCTTTTGTTGTTTACATAATAAAATGTGGACTAAATGCTGGATAAATATAACCAGCTAGACTTCCACATGATTAATAGCAAGAACTGAAATGATCAATTACACAAAAGGTAAGGGTCTATTTGAATGGAAGATTCGAAATGTATACATTATTGTTCACTCTAATTGTCCTTGTTTACAAATAACAAAATAGACATGAGGATTACCAATATGCTGAGAATATTGCATAATACACTTTCGCAGCTTTTAAAAGCCGAAAATCTGCATCACTTGTAATGATTTTTGATGTTTAAATATCGTTTAATAGGTTGTTTCTGAATTTCAAGATCATTTATAAAATAAATACACATATTACTTGTATAGTAACATTAACAGTCGTATGCATCAGTCAGTCAGTCCGTAACAACGTAGAACTTCGTACGTACGTTCGAGTTGCCACAACACATTAGCACACAGATGCAGTGGTCGATTCAAATCCCGTAGTGGTAGAGGTAATGAGAGTATAAGCATTAGCATTTGCTAAGTAAATTATTAAACTGGTTCAGAGTCAGTCTAAATAGTGTAGATCCATTCACTCGTTTTCTTCTCATAGATCCTAGGTCTCAAAATTATTTTATACCATTTTAATCTCCATTTATTAATACACCTTGAACTACATTCTAAATCTCTAATATATACCTTACAACCACTGAAAATATTAATCATTTTGTATTAGTCTTGCTGTACTGCTGATGTAGTGGTAGCCGATGCATGATGGGTTAGGTTCTATGATTTATATGACTAACTAAATAACGGTATTATATGAGGATATGAGCAAAAAATATCTATTATTTTCAAAATAAATGTTTACAGCCCTAGAACGCGAAATCGAAAACACTTGTTTCGGTATTTTTAAAAAATGTAATTGCGTCAATTGAATGTAGACTATTCTAAACCGAACCTTTAAATATTAAGATGTCTATAAATAATTTTTCAAGATTACCTTTATTGTCTTCAAGTACCGCGTTTATTTTATAAAGTTACACAGTAATATATACTAAAACGTGGTACAAATAATCTGGGATCATGTTTTTAAGCCGACAAAATATAATAGAATCTAATGAATTAAATTGAACATGTGATCCCTTACAATGACCGATCATATATTTTTGCATTATACAAATGAATTTTCTGTTAAACTAAATATAACATACAAGTATTTACGAAATACAAGGACAAAGTTGCCTGACATATACAACAATAAGCAAAAAGAACGACTACAAATTGTTTTTAATGAATAAATATAACACAATATTATGAATTGTTCACAGTGAAGTTGTGTAACGTTGTAAAACAATAAGTATTTCAATATTTTATTGTATATTATTGTTTATGACATAAAATTTTTAATGAAAATACACTTAGATATCTTGTTGCAACCTCGTGAGGTGGGACAGTGGAAGTGCACTGCTGAAGAGTCCAACAATACGACGGAACGACCGTCCAGTGCTTCCAAGTTTTCCATGGTGGTCTAGCTTCAATTGACTCATGATCTGTCGAAAATTTATAAGCTAATTAATATTATTCATGTGGATAATAATGATACGATGAAAGACACCATCGTGGTATTCTATTTTTAAGGTGAAATATACGAAGTTATCAGAGGACAAGAAGAAGTGTAAAGTGAAGATTCAAAGGATACTCTATGATTTATAAAGTCATTTATGATTAATTATCTGTAAAGCCACACTACCTTTGTTAAAATTGATATGTGTAAATAATAGCTTTGATTGACTATTAATAAACATATATTGTGTGAGTAGATTATCAGTTTAGTCATCTCAATTATTTCAGTAAATTAACTTCCCGGTCATTACATTGTCATAATACATAACACTTAGACTGACCCTTGAAAATCCATGTGCCTGTTGATAATCTTGACACAAAAATGATATAATTCAAATAATATACACTTGAAATAATTGTGAATTGAAATAAAATAATACACACAAAAATCAACTAACTTTTTATAATCTGTATATAGCGCCAAGTGTGTATCCGGTGATAAATTTGATTCGTTCGAATCATCACTGATTACAGTTGATTGATCTATTTCACATTTTGGATCGGATACAATTTTCAATACTTTAGCTTTAAGTAAAATCTGTAGAATTTGTAATAATGTAGCTTCTTCAATACCAGTTTGTAGTTGAATAGCTGACACCGTGTACACTAATGATGAATTATACAACATTAAAACAGACATCTGGTACGTTGAAACCTTTTGTTTAAAAAAAGTGGTAAAATCATATACAACTAACTCAAAGGACTGGTTTCACAACAATTTTTCGTAAAATATTTTAATAAATGAAATATATATAACATTTCCATATTCTGCAAACTTAAAAGCTAAGATGTCAAGCCAAAACCGTTCAGTACACTTTCTCGTTCAGTCAGGGGGTGAGCGTGTAGCACACTGGACACAGCCCGTCACGACAATATGACCGAAAGTCGGTTAGATTGTCATAGGTGTACACTTGTTTTGCTTTTTGAGTACGGTTATCGTACTATACATATAAAAAATTCCAAATATCATTCTATTTCTTGGAACTATACACCATAAATGATGAACTCTCAATATTATCGAATTCAGCAAATACTTATGGTGTGAAAAAATTATTTATCATTGAAGTCAAACATATTACGGGATGAGTAACCATTAAAAAATTCCTTTGAATCCATTTCACAAAAGATTCATTAACAAATCATTATCCAATAAATATATATAAACATAAACATACTTGAAATATATATCTAGTTTTAGTATAGTTAGTCACAACTTCACCACGTGATAAATGATAACACCATGTCAATTTACGACCAGTATGATGTTCTTGATAAAAAGCAAGAAATGTATTGTGACATTGTTCCAACTAGGATTTGATTTTATAATAAGAAAAAAAAAGAATTCAATTGAAGATAATAAAAATGACGAAGCGAATATCATACTAAGATGGAAAAAAAGTTCATGTACTGAAGAAAGCAGGATATACAGAGTTTGGTGCTTTTTACACTATGAAACAAAACCAAACTTATAAATTGGAAGCATGTATTTTATTTTTCAAGTAATTAGGCGAGGGGTGCATACTAAGACTGAAATTCATCATTTCAAAAACGGAGAGACTATAATTTATAGACGAAGCAATCAGATCTACGATAACAGGTCCGAAATTTTGGCGCGAAATTCATTCACCCATCTGGCTAAATAGAGTTTTGGCATTGTATTTGATGTCAGTTCGCAATGAAAACCCTAAATCTAAGTCCTAATCCTAACCGTCAACTGTAAATCATAATCCTTATTCCTTAAACTGCTTTATAATCCTCATTTAGCCCTGGTAAGTAGGTAGGCACTATCAAGGTCACTTCAGCGTCGCTCAAAGGTCGTCCATAAATTATAATTTTATCTCAAAAACACATGAAAGTGAATTGAAAGAATTGAAACTGTAACTTCTACTACTACTACTTTATTTGAAAATAAGTAAACACTTTTTTCATCACACTATGATGGTTTATTTGAAATGTGAACATGATTGTTCAGTGAATGACTGTATATCACTGTTCGATATACTACTGGGCAATATGAGTATGAATAACTGAAAAATGATTGATTTCAAATATTTTCTGATCGAACATATTAAGAAAGTGTGTTTGGATACTTCGATAGTCCATGTCACATATTTTTATAGAGGCTTCTACTATCCTCAGGACACGTATACTAAAATCAATAACTTTATTCTCTATGGACAATATCTTCTTCGAAGAAAAGTTTCTTTATTACCTTCCACACTAAAGATCCAACAGTAGATTTTTGGAGACTAAGAAGCAGTTAAGAAGACCGTATAAAAAAAAATACTGAAACCTCAAAAATGGGAATAATTAAACTGATATTTCTAAAATGACAAACAATTTAACTAAGAGTTTCTCATACAACTTGACGAATTCAATATATTGATATATTTTTTATAAAAAAAAAAAAGAATCATAGTATTTAAACAGTAGTCAATAACTTACTTCAGGAGGAATAGAAAAAGGTCCTTGAGCTTGAAATGGCCATGCGTTTGAACTAAGAATCATGATATTAAAATCAGCTAAACAAATATAAATGAAAAATTTATCAATATTTAAACATTACTAAGCACCTTATGTAGATTGATGATGATAAAATAAGAAAATAATAAACTATTTATAAATTATATGATACTCAAAATTATATTATATAGTTAGATCTTATTGTGATTGGCAAGTGACTAATGTAGCAGTAGATTCAGTAGCAGTGGGTCAAAATTTTCGATACAAATGTCAAAACAGTTCTACTATATGGGGCGGAAACATGGAGAACGACGAAAGCATCATCCACAAGATACAAGTGTGTACTAACAGTTGCCTACGCCAAATAATTCAGATCCGTTGGTCAGACATTATCAGCAACAACCTGTTGTGGGAGAGGACAAACCAGATCCAGAGGAGGAATAAATCAGGAAGAAGCACTGGAAGTGGATAGGATACACACACATTGAGGACATCACCTAACTGCACCACAAGGCAAGTCCTCACATGGAATCCTCAAGGCCAAAGGAGGAGAAGAGGAAGACCATAGAACAGATTACGTCGAGAAATGGAGACAGACATGAGAAAAATGAACAAAAATTGGACATAACTGGAAAGGAAGGCCCCAGGACAGAGTTGGAGAGTGCTGGTGGGTGGCCTATGCTTCACTGAGAGTAACAGGCGTAAGTATGCAAGTGATTGGCAAACAACAGATCGACAAATCCTTTATCTCTTATTTATTTAATGTGTGAACATTTTAGTGCACTAAATAGAAATCTATTCAGTTAACTAGTCGACTTATGTTTTCAAATCATTTTGTTTGGCTGTGATCGAGTCATTAATCTACTGTCTTGTGTGAACAATCATCAGTTAAGCGTATAATATTATGAACCGTTGTCATTAATATCGTTGTTAAACTCTCTAAACACTTCTATAATAACGGAATATGAAATGACGGTATGTAGAAAATCGAAAGGTTTATGACTATAGCATGATGATGCAATCAAAGGAAGAAAAGTTACACAAAGAAAGACACCGTACATAATATTTGTAGTCAATGATGAAGTTCATGCTTAATGGTGTATACAAAAAAACTATCTTTCCAAATGTTATAGGAAAGTACTTGAAGAAATTCATAAAAAACAGGTAAGCATGTTACCACAAAACTGATGTTTATTTAAATGATAACGTAACAAAAAAGAAATTTATGCGCTTGCGTTAAATCACAATTTTTCATATGAACTTGTTCAAGGAGGATATAAATCTATGACAAACTGGTTGAAGATTGAGTTAACATGGTTAATCATAATACATTTCAGTGATTAAGGTGATTCTTAATATTAAATAGAAACACCAATTCGTGTCGGTTGTGTGAGTTATTCACCTCAAACAATGCAAATGCGTTGCGCAAGATTATGGATCAATTAAATTTAAACATTAACAGCGTCGGATGCCTGCTCAATGGTCTAAAGTTTACGCGCTTGCGTTCGAGACCGAAAGTCCTGGGTTCGAGTCCCGAGTGTGGAATCGTGGATACGCACTGATGAAGTCTCATACTAGAACGAAACCGTTGTCCAATGCTTCCAGGTTTCCAAATGTGGTATCTAGCTTAGATCGACTCATGAATTCAACTATGAAAATAAATTAATGGACATTAGAATTGTTGTCATGACTGAGTGAATGATTCAACTTTCAAACGCTGTGTAGGTTGGGATTCTGTTCTGTTGCATATATATATATGATAATTGAATTTTAACGCTTAGTGTAAATTCAATTCCCTAGATGTGATCAATAAAAAAAATCATATTAAAAACTTATTCTATGATACAATACATCGTATAATATACACTAGTTAGTTATTTTTATATAGGATATCAAATAAATACACATGGTCAACACATAGTTAAACAAAAAGAACGCACTAAATTTAAATAACAAACAAACAAATCTCTCTAGGGAAGTAAAGCTATTGTGTAATACAAGAAAATCATATGCCTTTTTCTTAAAATTACATCAGACATCACTTGCCCATGTGATTAAATGGAATGTTACTAGGGTGGCTACTATTATTAAAGTATATAATGAGATATGTATGACTTGCATAGTATGTGTGCGAGTAGATGATATATAACATGACACTACTTTATATATATGGACAGTATCATGTTTAAAAGACAGAAAAAGATGATCGAATCATATCATCTCTCCAGCGAAAGGTTTGATAACATCTAAACATTTAATTACACGATGTATTTGACTTTTTAAAGTGAAAACAAAGTAATTGCACATCAATTAAGATACTTACAGAGATTATTTCCACAAAAAGGATAAGTATTAGAGAGATTTTTGTATATTTATTCTGAATGAGTACATAATTCACTCGAAAAGGACGTGCTAGACGAACTACAAAAACGACTACACTGTGTGGCTACTGAAGTAGAAACGAGTTTACACTAGTAACCTCATATACTTTATTTTATAGTACCAAAATGTGCAACTTGAGATTCACGTTGCATACTATTGGGAAAATGTCAGTTGGATGTGTTTATATTTTATTAGTAATGTTACTTGTTGAGCTGAATTATTCTAAATAATGAGGTAGCGAAATATAGTGCAGTTTTGGGATCCAGTTTTAAACCACCATGTGATTCCAGTCAGCTGAACAAACCAAAATATTTTGAGTGGGTTTTGAACCACAGACATTAAAATGAACAGTTGAATGTTTAAATTATGAAGTTACCAGCCTGTATACATCTAATAGGCGATATTGACACATTCAGCCATGTACATCGAAGACACACCGACCGTGACGTGAAATAGTGAGTAATAAAATTGTTAATTGGAATAAAGGTAACAATGACAAGATCAAGGCATAGAACTAATCAATGAGATCACTGAATTCTCGTCTGAGTCATGTTGGAAAGCACAAACTGTTTCAGTCAGTCACTGAGTTGTGTCCATATATATCTATGTATATTTGCATTAGTTTAAGCCGTCGTTAGCACATTAACCCGTCGAAATCAAATTATCAAAACAAATCCCAGTATAGTTTAAGTAGTAACAGTATCAACAGTAGTGAAAAATTAAATAAATAAAAAGTACAAGATTTTACGACTCGAGTCCTAAGGGAAAACAAAGAGTGAATTCACCTACCCTACTGCGAACAGATTTGAGTCATTGCATTCAAAATCTCAGGTCATTATGATAATCAAGTGAAATTCAACCAGGTAATCCGCACCTACTAAAATGGCTCAGTTTAATTGTTACTGACATGTTTTCTCCCTGAAATATTAAATCAATTGCTATTCATGAACTCATGATTCAGTTGCATGTGATCCTATTGAGCTCATGTATACGTGTAGTGAACGAGAACTCATGTGGGGAAAATCAATTTATTGTTTAATTAAAAGATTATATATATATTAAATACATCATTTGAACATCTTTGCGTTGCCCTTTACATACTCGATTATTCCTCTACTTCTGTCGTTATTTTGATTTCTCTCTCATTTCCTTTTTATTCTCTTCAATTCAATCTTCTGCTGCCAGGCGTTCCACTTCCGGTTGCGGCTACATAATACTTATATTTGACAGCATTAGTAGAATATACTACATAGGTATCTTATGTATAGATCTTTGATCACAGTTCAGATTAATTTACTTGCTGTACTTATCATCTTTTGATTTACTACCTTCCAGCGCAGATATAAAGTATGGTGACTCGGTGTGACAAACATTTGTGCAAGATCCTATGTCAATGTTGGTTGACCGGCTGAAGGCTGGAATATTCAAGTCACTACAATATAATTAATAATCTGATGAACTACAGCTTTGGTACGACTATCAGCGAAACAAATTATCATGAGACCCCTAGGACAGATGAAGTCAAACATCACCTCCTAGTCACAGAAGTCGTTAATTATGTCTATGTTCCAAACATGACTCAGAAGAAATAACTGACTGAAACATTTATCAATCCAAACAGTTAGTCAACCATTCTAACGCCTTATTTACTAATGGTATGTTGAAATTATCATAACATCTAGCGTCCAGGGACTTATTTATTATGACAACAACATCGTATTGTAATATCAGTTTATCGTGAATTTGTAAAGTTATCTATTGATTTCCCTTTCTTTCTCTCTTTCTCCTTCTTTTAACCTTCTTAATTAGTCAAGTTTTAACTAGGAAACCAGTTGGATGATATCAGATGTTTACACAGCTTAACGTCTAACTGTCAGTATGTGATGTTTATACCGATGTGTATAATAACAATAAAAACAAATTATATTATAATATAATTTTAATTGAAATTGTTTCTACTTCCCATGTTCACTAACATGCGAAGAAAAAGTTTTCTATTTCTGAGGCGGAATAATAATAAAAAAACTATCATATACTTACCTAGAATGCAAATTTAATGATTTAAGGTGAACTAAGATAAAAAAAATCAATGTGTTAACCTTTATACTATTATTTGAAAAAGAAAAAAGGACGGATGGATGGATGGATAGATAGAAAGTGAACAAAAGGAAATTAATATCCTGTATCAAGTATTGAAAAGTATTTTTCCTATGGAATAACAAAGAAAAGAGAAAAACTAACGCAAAGCTTCATATTTGAGTGAACCTCCCATTTTTCCAAAAAGAAGACTATAGATTACTGACTAAATGCTCGTGAGATTTATCACTTATAATAAATTGCCCCCAAATGCCATGGTATGGCCGAGAGTGGGGTGGGCCCGCCCTCCCTCTCGAAATGCTCTCACATGGCCACGCGTATACAGCCTCTACCAGGGAAGTCCTACTCATTGCATTCTCGTGGTGGGGGTGTTGTTTACGAAATCGAGAGGACGAAAAGCGAATGTCCGGCGCTTATACCGGATTCTAAACCAAATCAATGGTGCACATGGGCTCCAGTATCCTGATGGAACAAATGGTGTATGAACCAATTGTTGGTCACCGGCTACCATCGGACTGCATCTTCTTACAATGCTCCACTGCCTTGTGGATCAGACCTTTGGGTCCAAGGCTCGGGGTGTGGCCCCCTAAGAAAACCACCTGCTTCGGTTTGGGCACCCGGGCAGTATCATAGCCCTCACACAAATCGAATGATTTATGTGGCGCATATGCATTTGGTGCCTCGTTGTACCAATGTTTATGGGTTTAAATAAAAATAAATAAATAAATATAATAAATTAGTTTATGCTTAGCATAACAACCAATATGAATAATGAAAGTGACTAAAAATAAGATAATCAGTAGGCTATTTTAGGTAGGACTATTTTATGGTATGAAAGTTGCTTTGTTATTTGAATGAGTCGGAGTATACGGATTTTTGGTAACTTACTCTTAAATACATTATTTGTACTTTATTTGAACATAAATACTGGTACAAGAAGGAACCAGATACATATGCACTACAACTTAGAGTTAAAATAAATGCTCCGACAGTTTCACAAACATCTAGGTGAAAAAAACTTTTAAAAATAAAGGCTATGGAGATACTTCTCACTGGTTCACAGACGAAAGTTACAAATCAACATATATAAACAGGTTAACAAGAAACTTTGAAACGAGACATCAAGACGAGACTGAAAGTTTCAACTTTACAATAAACTTTTTCAGAAAGCCGAACCAAAGAAGAAAAACCATCTTCTTGAAAAGTTAAAGCTATAAAAGTTTGATATATACATAAAACTTACTTCCTTTAATTGTGCTTCCATTGGCTTCTTCTTGCTTTTGTAAATAATCTGAAAATTTCGCATTCAATTCTCTAGTAGCATTAACATCTTGAAACATCCGTTGTAATTTCGCGGTGTATTCAAAACCGCAAGCTTCTTTTAATTTGGAAATCATAGAAGCTTCAGCATCCTCGGATACAGATTGATTATAAACTAAACGGCGAGCCAGTGTTTTACTATAGAATTTTTGAAAGACATCTTTATCTTCAATATAGCGGAACACATTCATCTAAAATGATTAACCAGAACAAATAAGCAAAACTACATAGTGATGGAAAGCGAAGAATGAGGAGCGTTAAAAGGAATATCGTGGGTATTTTCACTGCAGATTAGCACAAATTCATATGCAAAGAAAACTTATTGAATGATACAAACTAAGAGACATTAAGTACATGCTTTGAAATAATGTAGAAAATATCATCAACACTACTGATAAAATAACTCCAAACCTTAAAAAAAACACATCGAAGAGATTTTATGGTCATTTTATTTGTAAATAATTTGTACTGATAGACTTTTCGATACAACTGAGATAATTTTATAAACAGAAGAAGAAAGAAGAATTATGCAGTCTGTATCAGTTGAGCTACACGGAAAAATAATTGAAAACATATTGAAATACTCACTACTTGTCCAAGTGTTTCTTCTAAATCATCCAATTGAATATCTTTCGCACTGAAAAAGGAAGAAAGAAGCACTAAACAGTTAGTACATAGCCCATACACATACATATATATATGTACTCTTATGAAAGCACTCGGTAATAAAATTGACAAGTGCGAAATAACATAACCAGATTATCTCCAGTTACTATGACTAGTTTTAATCCTCGATTTGGAGAAACGCAACAAATACTTGTAATCATAACTTGGTTAGAAATCGATCAAACGCATTATACTCCAAAAACGAAGAATTTACACATAACTGACCAATATCTAAAGTCATAAATATCAATTACCAAACTGAAAGCAGGATAATTGTAATAGCTAACTGTAGTACGATATGTCCACTGATTTATTGCACCAAAAATTAGTCATCGCAACAAGATAAGGATGTCTGGAGCCTGAGTATATAAAAAAGTTCGAGTTGTTGTACGACTGATAATTTATAACTAATAAAAAGTTTGAAATTCAACTAATTTACCGAATATACGTAATGGTGGCTTAATGATTACAGCGTTCGGTTTCCAGCAACTAATTCCCATATTCAAAATTCATCCGTCTATTTGTTTTTGGGTATCCGGGTTGTATCCTTAGCCTTCACATTGAGAATGCGAGCCATACCCAAGTACCTGGTGAATGCCCAACCGTTGTTGCAACCTTGACGTGGTGGTCGGGCTTGCCTATCGTGATGAAGCAACTGAGCTATACTGGCTGGAACAATCGTTCCTCAAGGTCCTACCATGTCAGACAGGTCGGTTGAAGAGCTGTAAGACTAAAAGCAACAAACCCAAGGTCCGAAGGTGAAGTCGTGCCGCTGACTGTACAGAGGTGTGACAGCAGTAAGGTGTTTCTTTCAGACCACCAACATGACAGCGATGCTGCCTTCCCACAAGAAGGGGTGGGGTTAGAAAAGGTCGACCCTAAAAATGCACACCTCGCCTTATCCCACGGATATCTGTCTTCAGCGGTAGGGTCTCAACAAGTACGGAGCTAACACAAAAATTACTCAAAATTACTCATAAAAAGGTCGTGTGTGGCCGACTTCATGCAGTTCTCGCTTGGGCACTGCGGTCACACTCTCAGGACACTAAGACCACCTTTAATCCAATTTCCTTTCCAGGTACCTCCAGAAGAACCCTTCCACAGTGTGGGCAACCGGGAAGTGAGAACTGCCCTCATACCTCTAACAGCACTCAAGATATGGTGAACGAGTTAGTAGATTAATATTTTGTTTACATGGTATTATATTCCGTTTTACGTCACATCAACTGTAAGAAACCTTGTGATACTATCTGGTTGCTCAACACGAAATAAGTAGAGCGTAGTTTGAACTCGTTACCTGTTAGTTAAAAGTCAAGTGCTTTAATATATATATATATATATATATATATATATATATATATATATATATATATATATATAAAATACAAAATGGTTTCTGGTGTTCTGAACTTTACGACTGAACAGTTAAACCAACTAAATCCTCATATTATTCATTAAGTTAAGTGCTGATCAAGCAATTATAGAGTTTGACAGAATCAGTGAAACACATTGAACCCAAGCTGAACAGAAAATGATAGATTCGGGAGAGATGCTGCCGTACTCTGGTCATGAAGAAGAAAATATTTCGGACACTAAGGAAGTTTTTCTAATGCTGTCCAACGAGGATGGCAGTATCACAGCCTACACACAAATCAAGTGACATGTGTGGCGCATATGTATTCAGACAATAGAACACACCGCATCGGGAATCGGAAGCAGATACCAAAAGGACAAATAACAACTGGAAAGGATTGTCCAGGATAGAGTTGGACGGAGAGTTTTGTCAGACGGCCTATACCCTTCCACAAAGAGTAACAGATGTAAGTGATTGCATTTTTGTAGCTAAGCAAAAAAGGAGGCCAATATACGTAAAGGCTCATAACAAATCTTGTGATTATAAATATCAATACCGAGCTACAAAATACAATTCAGTAGTAATATTTAAAAAATGATTTTATTTATGTATTTATTTTAACACATAGATATTGGTACAACGAGGCACCAAATGCATATGCGCCACATAAATCTCATTTGATATGCGTGAGGGCTGTGATACTGTTCGGGTGTCCAAACCGAAGCAGGTGGTTTTCTTAGGGGGCCACACCCCGAGCCTTCGACCTGAAGGTCTGATCCACAAGGCAGTGGAGCATCGTAAGGAGATGCATTCCCATGGTAGTCGTTGACCAACAATTGGTTCATACACCATTTGTTCCATCAGGATACTGGAGCCCATGTGCACCACTGGTTTGGAATCCGGTTAAATCGCCGGACATTAGCTTTTCGTCCTCTCATTTTTGTAAACAACACCCCCACCACGAGAAGGCAGTGAGTAGGACTTCCCAGGCAGAGGCTATATACGCGTGGCCATGTGAGAGCATTTCGAGAGGGAGAGCGGACTCTCCCTACTCTCGGCCGTACCAGGGTTTGAAAATTTAGGAGATATAATTTAAAACACTATTAATTCATAATAATGAACTAACCTTTTCTTTAATAAGAAATCTGCATATTTAGCTAAAAGTTCAGGGGATTTTCTTTGATTTCCAGCTAATTCAGTGACAGCATTACGATTTATAAAACGTTCACATCCTTTATCTAAGGCACGTGAAAATGCAGGATCCCAAGCGAAGGCGGATAATACAAGATTATAATGTTTTTGATGAACTTTTAATATTGTATCAATATACAATTTTGGATCCTGAAAATTCAAATAAACCCGAAGTAAAATTGAGAAAAATGCATAACCGTGTAAAGCCTATCAAATGTCTCGATTATGATGGTATAAGCTTTCTGATCCAAAATGCTTTTAACACTAGTGATCAATAATAAAAACAAGGAAACTGAAGCTTTTATTTCATAGTATTAACAGACAATTAATTTTTTTGTTTGATCGATGCATAAGTCCATTTCCATCAATAAAAAAAGCTTAAGAGAAATCTTTTCACTGATTATCAATGTGTGGTAAAAAGATATGAAAAGCAAAAAAAGTGAAAAAACATCAACTCACATTTAAAGCAGCTTCAGCCACTTGACGGATAGCTTCCCATCCTTTATCAGCAACATGATCTTCCATGACAGAGACAAGAACACGTATTCCACTAGGAAAATGACCAACTAGCGATACATTCGCCATATATCTAAATATTACAATAAAATTTCATAATATCGTAAATTAAATATGAGTGCAGAGATGGGATATTAAAAAAACACAGGTAACTGATAAGGGAAAAATATGTGGGGATGAAACTTTTCCTAATTATAAATGAGGGATCTTTGGAACAGTAATAAACTATCAGAATCTCATAGATATATGCTAACAATTTACAGCTAACTTTACAAATGTGTATAGTTAAGTTACTTAACAATTATACAATAAAATATAGGTATAATATTTGTCCATTAATAGAACCCAACACTTACCATTTATGATTCACGTTGGGATATATCACAAACATTCAAATTATTGGCTTTCTTTACTTATCATCAAAAAATTTCTATATTCGAAGAAAGTTATAGGATGTTATCAGCAAAGGTAAACATCTATCAAAAGACCGTCGAGTAACAGTTACACTGAATCTTTTTTTCTAAGCATAACTAGAAAACTACCGTAAAATTAACCAACAGCTGTACACACGGAAAAGTCTCTGAATCTCAAGAGGATAACCAGCTTTTTTAAATGTACAAATATCCCGGTTAATGGGTCGCAATAAGCTAGTCAATTATGTATACGGGGCTTTTTTAAAATCGTTTTTCACTATGCAACATTAATCAAAGTGCATCTTCCACCCGAGTGTCGAATCGGTGTATTTCCAAACTGACAAACAGACACCTATCTAAATGCTAAATAATATTTTTATTCTATCTTAACAACTATCTGTTGGTTTAAGGAGTTGGATTATTCTAAAAATTTTAGAACATTTAAATAACGAAATGTACAACATTGCAAAACCAAAATGAGTCTAATTATTATTAGTTTAAAAACAGTCATATGAAATTTTTTTACAATCTCTAGGAAACTGTAGTGCATAAGTGTAGGATTTTTAAATTCACTTTAAATTTCAAAGAAGTGTACGCGAAAAATTCAGTTACTTACTTATGCCTGTTACTTCCAATGGAGCATAGGCCACCGACCAGCATTCTCTAACTCACTCTGTCCTGGGCCTTCCCAGTTATGTCCAATTTTTGTTCATTTTCTCATGTCTGTCTCCATTTCTCGACGTATTGTGTTCTTTGATTTTCCTCTTCTCCTTCTTTGGCCTTGAGGATTCCATGTGAGGACTTTCCTTGTGATGAGTTGGGTGATTTCCTCAATGTGTGTGTATCCTATCCACTTCCAGTGCTTCTTCCTGGTTTATTCATCCTCTGGAATCTGGTTTGTCCTCTCCCACAACAGGTTGTTGCTGATAATGTCTGACCAACGGATCTGAATTATTTGGCGTAGGCAACTGTTAATACACACTTGTATTATCTGGATGATGGTTTTCGTCGTTCTCCATGTTTCCGCCCTATACAGTAGAACTGTTCTGACATTTGCATTGAAAATACTGACCTTGGTGTTGGTTGAAAACTGTTTTGAGTTCCAGATGTTCTTCAGTTGTAAATATGCTGCTCTTGCTTCGCCGATCTGCGCCTTCACATCTGCATCAAATCCACTGTGCTCATCAATGATGCTACCCAGATATGTTAAACTTTTTACATCTTCCAAATCTTCTCCGTCAATTGTGATTCGATTGTTGCATGCTGTGTTGTACCGGATATAAATTCATTTAGGGGAGTTTTAAATAACCTTATCTTATTATTATTGGTCTGAAGAATTAAGTCTCAGACACTGTGTTTTATGTTCAGTTATGAATACATGCACAAAAATATGCACATAAATGTAGGTGAATTGTTAACGTTCTTGTGATATTCAATTAAACAATAAACTAATCAGTAAAACAATTTTTAAACTCACCTTCCTCTCTATCTTCATTGAAAAGATCTGAGAAGACAGATGTTAACCGATCTATATGTTCACCAATTAGATAATGTTCACAGGATCTAATTAATTTGGGAAGTGTACTTATATGTAGATAAGTTTGAACACGAATGCGTTCTTCATTTAATCGTGTTTCCACCTATAAATGAATGTAATTTCAAAACTAAATTATAAATAGTAAAAGATTCAGCACAATTTAAGCATAAATACAAAATACTAAATATTCAATAATTATCCAATAGCAGAGGTGACTATAAGCAATATTAATCTTAAATGGTTATCGTTGAAAAACTATGATGACGTTTAGTTTCATGATTCATGAGATTAAACACAGCTATAAGACATGTTGCACAAGGTTTTTATCTTGACAAGAAAATTAGTTGGTCAGTGGAATTAATAAAACCAGCAATTGCAGTGATACATAAAAAAAGTTACTGTTAGATTAACCTAGTTATCTCAACAGCAAAGTATTTTTCTAGGATAATTAACAATTTAATGTGGGCAGTGTGGAACTGACACTTGACCACATATTCTCAACAGCATACACATCCTTTTAGATTAACAAAACTTAATTCATTCTCATATTTTCGTCTGTTTAACTAGGTTCTCTTGACTTATTTCATATCTAATTGTTTAAAAAAAATGATGCAAATCCGTACATAACGTTTTCCAGAAGTATGTTTTAAAGCACAGTCCCTGTGCACTGTTTAACAAAAAGGACTTCCTATATTTAGTTGCCCACTAATGTTGGTTATTTCTTACTAATTTGCTTTTCCACTAGCTGAGTGTCGGAATGAACATCTGTAAACATCAACGTAACGAGACTAATAGACGTGCCAATATCAGTCTATAATTCAAGTAATCATTGGTTTAAACCCGAACAATATGAAAGATTAGTCTTACCACAAGCTATCAAACAATATGCAAGTTCAAACAACAATCACTACAGTATCTAGTGATTTTAACGCAGATTCAGGTATACTAAATCAACTACAATTATCTTGAAGGATAATTTGCACTTCTAATCCACTGCATTAATAACATTGGTTATCCCCTACAACTATGTTTGTAAAGACTTATTTTTAATAGCAAAAGGTTGAGGCACTATTGCGGCACCTACCACTATTTTTACGAAAGTTAAGAAATAAATCGTCTGGCTATAAAATATCACCGAAGTGAATGGTTGGAAGTTAGTCGATTGTCTTGTAGTACTTACTTAGACCAAACCTGTACGCAGGTCGAAGCAAGTGTCTGCACCTAATAACTGACTTGATGCAATACCTACTTAGAAATAAGTTGACCACTTCACTTATTCACATAAAGTTATGTGACCATTAAAGTCAGGAAATATGGAGAAGATTAGTCTGCCACTAAAATCATAAGTCTTTATTTTATTTAGAATGCAAATATACTGACTAAAAAATGAATATATAATTTATCATAATATCGTATGTAAATACACATATGACTTGCTTTTTGAAGGTATTCGGGTACTGTGTTTGACTGCAAAAACTGAGCACTTTCTAATCGGTAATACCGTTCAGTTTCAGTCAAAAATGGTCGTTCAAAGTATTCCTGATAAACTGATAGATTGGTCCGCGTGTCCGATGTCAATGATGATGTCGCACTAGGAGTATTGGGAGTCGATTCATCCGCTGGATCTCCGGAATGAAGTGGACCTCGGAAATTTGGGGTGGTTTTATTTGATGTGCCTTGGAAGCTGGATTCCTAACAAAAAAACCCACAGTATTTCAAAATACGTTAACTTAAGGGGAAATATATAGATGATAAGACAAAACTTGGATAACTAAACACTTCCAACAATTTTACTTATTTATTTTAACACATAGATATTAGTACAACGAGGCACCAAATACATATGCGCCACATAAATCTCATTTGATATGCGTGAGGGCTGTGATACTGTTCGGGTGTCCAAACCGAAGCAGGTGGTTTTCTTAGGGGGCCACACCCCGAGCCTTCGACCTGAAGGTCTGATCCACAAGGCAGTGGAGCATCGTAAGGAGATGCATTCCCATGGTAGTCGGTGACCAACAATTGGTTCATACACCATTTGTTCCATCAGATACTGGAGCCCATGTGCACCACTGGTTTGGAATCCGGTTAAATCGCCGGACATTAGCTTTTCGTCCTCTCATTTTTGTAAACAACACCCCCACCACGAGAAGGCAGTGAGTAGGACTTCCCAGGCAGAGGCTATATACGCGTGGCCATGTGAGAGCATTTCGAGAGGGAGAGCGGACTCTCCCCACTCTCGGCCGTACCAGGGCATTTGGGGCCTTCCAACAATAAGAATTATGATGAATCACTACACCGTTAATGAACGAATTATTAGTCAAATTAATATAGTTGAACTTATAAACACTGTACCATAGTTGATAAACATAAAATCTAAATTTATGTTCTTATAATACACAATTGTCCGTGTAAATCAATGGAGTAAGTAATATTAATCTTTTCAATACACCTCAATCAGATCACTAAGGACAAGATATGATATTATTTACTTCCCAGCGACATTAGTATGAGCATTAAGATATTTTTTCTTCGAATAATCATTTGTTTACTCATATGTACAAATACAACCATCATTCGTGATATTTACAAGCTATGATACTATTGCTTAGCATGTACCACTCCATATTTTACTGTGAACAAAAGTTACCTAGTAAGCAATGAATGATGCAGAAAAAAATTCACTAAGAATTTATGCTACATAAAAGATTCAAAGGACTCACGCAGAGTGGATCGATTTCTGATTATTTTTTTCATATGCGAGCTAACAGATAAAAGTAGGTAATAAAGTATCAGGTGGTAGAGACATGTCAACCTTATATATTCCTTGAAAAATTTCGTGAGATCATTTGAATATATAAGGTTGACATAGCTATCATTTGAAACTAACCTAAGAAATGTCACTAACACCAAAGAGAACATCAACAGATGATTATGTGAAATATTAGCTTAACCACAGTTGTAAAAACCTCACTTGAGAACCCATAGTGCTGTCTCCTACCTGTTCACTATGAAAGCTGAGAACTATTTTATTCATCATCCTGTATATTTTATCCCTTGAAATCTCATTAAGTTAGTCTGAAATAGTAAAACATAAGGAAACCTATCACTATAATCTAGTAATCTAGTACTCGATAGTGACACCACTGATTGTGTGACAAAATATAGATTGACAAACATAGTCTCCATCTAAAACGTTAGATAATTAAATAACTAGATAGTTCGATGCTAACTTGTTTACAATAAACTGAGAGACGAGCGATGACGAGTAGATAGGTAGGTTATGAGAATTAAACATTATTATGCAAACAGTAACTCAAAGTACTTACCACTTCAGACTTATTTGGTTTTGAAGTAGAACCACTAGGTTTAGGGGGAAAATTAGGAGATTTAAAAGGTTTCATTAGATATGGCAAGGGTTCACTAGGTGATGAAGCAGTTCCAGTTAACGTAGATGTTGAGAAAGACTGTTGGTCAGACGTAATACCCAACTCAACCAGGCACTCAATAATCTTTCTTAGTCGTAAGGTAGATAAAATTTCTCCACGTCGTTCACGTTCGATCTCACGAAGAATTGCGCTGATTAAAACCCTAGCGTGAGGTTTTAGTAAATGTTCGCGCCATGTTATCAGTGCAAGCTACAATAAACAGAAGTTTGAGATATATTTGTTTGTTACGTCTTTAATACTAAATATGCAGAAAGTGATGAAATACATTTGTTCTTTAGAAAATCGAACAGTCATTTAAGTCTTCATATGAAAGCTCAATGTTTACCTATTCAGAGCTGACAACTAATTTTTTCCAAAAAAACACGAAAATGCATGATTACGGGGTTTTTAAACGATGAGGACATGAAATGTCAATTAAGCAGAAAAATAAACCACAAAAATGAATTTCCAAACAAGCTTTTTATGAACAGCAAGTCGATAAGTATATTGGCTGAATAGGAACAGTTGTCAGTAAAGCAAAGCTAATTCATGAACGGTGTACCAAACAGTAGACCAGTAAACTGAGTGTTTCAACACTATGAAATAGGTTGATAGTCACCCCTATCAATAAAAAGGGTTTACGTCACCTATGCAAAAGCTATCGTGGGATAAGTTTACTTCCGATTGCGCTCAAATTACTACCGACATACTTCGCAGACGGTCCAAAACTCCTGAAAGATTGACTTGTGAGGATCAGACTGGTTTCGTTCTGATCGAAGATGCATTGGTCATATTTTCACCCTTCGCTAAATGTTAGAACACCACCATAGGTATTGCAGGTCAACAATCGTTGCATTTATTGATATCAGGCCCGCTTCGATTTCTTTAACAAGACAAGTCCTCTATGATTGTCTAGTGAAAAAGGGTGTCCCAGAGAGGGTTGTTAACATCTTGAAGGCATTATATACAAGTACTTCAAACAGAGTAGGGGAATACAACCACCTCTCTTCACTGCTTCATTCAAACACTGGGGTCAGGTAAGGTTGCCCATTATCATCATTCCTTTTCAACTTAGCTGTTGACGACGTTCTGGAAACAGCTCATACGGGTCTAGGTAATAGTGGTGAGGATTTGTTATCTGGAGAAATGTATTCCGACCTTGAGCATGCGGATGATATCTTATTGTGAGATAATAATCAAACCACGAAACAGGCACTTAGTTGGCAATTAGTGTCCGTAGGTATGGCATGTGCTTTGTACCTTCTAAGTGCAAAGTACTTTTCTCAGCCTGGTAGGGCACTACCTGCATTTACTCTTGGTGATGAGCAGATAATAGTCGAGAAGTTCGTGTATCTGGGTAGTTGTATAGGTGCTGGTGATGGCGTGACTGGTAATATTAAATCACAGTGAAAAACAGAGCGGTTTATACCGATTCGGGCCATCTGTGACGCCTTCGTGATGCCACCCTAGCTGGTAAAGGTTGGATCTACAGCGCGTCAGTGAGAGCAATTTTGTCCAATACTTGTGAAACCTAGCCTCTTCAAGTTGAGGATGTTAAGCGACTCGTGCATTATTTACCGAATCTAACACTGACTGGAAAGAGTGGATAGGTAGTCAGTTTATGACGTGGCTCTGTGCTATAAAAAAACTGCACAGGACTGGCATCTGTTAGTCCTGTACAATTCCCTGAGTAGCTTGAGGTGTTACCCGACATGGCTCAGATTACAAGCCAGTGGGGATCCTATTGTAGCTTTCTTTTACTTTCTTCATATAAATAAGAGGAACATTCCATCCTGATTGTATTTTCCTTAGATGAACTGCTTCTTTCACTATAGCTACTATTATTATTGTCATTCTTAATGTTATTTACTGTTATAAATTAATTCATTCGTCTTTTTATTATTATTATTATTATTATTATTATTATTATTATTACTATTATTATTATTATACTTACCTTTTCTCTGTCTCTTAACAATCTCACTTGTATTGTTACGCATATATATTTTGGTATTCTTTGTATCAATGTTTATACGCTTAAATAAATACCAAATAAATAAATACTGAACTACGACAGAATTCAGGTATCTAGTTCAGGAATAAATGATCGTTCAACACAGTCAAGACTCTAAAATAAACAGGTTAACTTGACTATAAAGTCTACTATATGGCAATTTTACTGTAATATGACAGTCAAATGGTGTAACTAACATAACTGATCGACATCGCTTTCAGCCATCCAGCTGGCATGAAGGCATTACCTATCTAACCAAGGCGCATCAGATGTAGCAGAGCCCGAACTTGCAGTCTCAGTCAAAAACCGAATATCCTAAAGAGCAAGTTGTCTCCCCATGTATACACATAAGATTTTTAACCGAAAAACCTCTCATACAGTAAATACGCATACTTAGGTGGCCAATAAATTAGTCGTTAGCGACGTGTAAGCGGTTATGAATGTCATCCACTTTGATAACAGTATATATAAGATGTTGCTAAGATCAATGTTGACTAGTGTTGGAGACGTTGGAAGAAAGTTAGGGGCGACAAAACTAAAACGTGGCATCAGTGCTTGAAGTCACTAATTTCTGGTCTGAGCCATGTTGGTAGATGCAGACTACTTGGTTGGAGACTGTGTGACATGACTCAGGATCCATCACAATGGCATAGCTGTATACACTCTGTCTTCCCTTAAACCGTGTGATTAGAATTGTTTTTATCTTTTTTTCTACGAACGAATTCTTTCTTCCTGTACTATATCCTTATATGCAATCTTTCTTTTATATTATTATCATTGAAGGGACTACCTCTATGAATTTGGTGTTTATTTTGTTGTGCTAATGAGGTATGGCACATTGGACCGATGCACATATGTGCCTGGAAATCTTAGACCTGAAATAAATATTTGGCACGATCTCGAAACTTAGAGTCAGTCGGTCACTCAGCTACAAAATAGAACCAGGCAAGATTGCATATAAGGATATGGTACAGGAAGAAAGAATTCGTTCGTAGAAAAAAGATAAAAGCAATTCTAATCACACGGTTTAAGGGAAGACAGAGTGTATACAGCTATGCCATTGTGATGGATCCTGAGTCATGTCACAGTCTCCAACCAAGTAGTCTGCATCTACCAACATGGCTCAGACCAGAAATTAGTGACTTCAAGCACTGATGCCACGTTTTAGTTTTGTCGCCCCTAACTTTCTTCCAACCGTCTCCAACACTAGTCAACATTGATCTTAGTAACTTATCTTATATATACTGTTATCAAAGTGGGTGACCTTTATAAACTAAAGAGGGACACAAATTACGATTGCAGTTCATAATGGAATGAGTGGATGATGGAATGACATGATGCACAACAAATACTAATAACATCTAAGTGAACTACGATACATGAAAGCCACCAAGGTTGGATAAATAAATAACCACAAGTAGAGGATCACTGACTGTTCAGAGTGCATATAATATCAAGAAAAACCACGAAATCTTTTATGATGCACTTAGTACTATAACTTCAAATACTTCACAACAATAAAAAGAATCACGTACTGTATAAACGACATAAACATTCTTTCGTCCCTCTTCACATTCTCGTTTAACCCAATGTCTATTCAAGTAATTACAAACCCCATCCAGAACTCTGGATGCAAAACGGAATTCTGTCCAAGCCTTTTCGAAATATGAAAGAGTTTCTTCATCGACTAGATTATTTCCTTTCTGTAAAGAAGAAATGACTGGAAAATATTGTAATTTACTAGCTTCAAGGAGTGGACATGAGCCTTTAAATAATTGCGCAACTTTTTGTACAGTTCAAAACCTACTAATTTCCCCCCAGGTTCAGTTTCTATAGCATTCCTACTGGGGGTTGCATGAGATTTCGGGTCGACTGATGTACAGTAATTGTAAACATGAGTATGAAGCTCCATATATCTTTTTCTTTTGATTGTCTCCAGCCTGAATATAGCGTCGAAACCACTTTTTAGGTCATCCCAAACCAATGCCAAATTCCCAGCAGAAGCAGACATATTTAACAAATGGGAGGATTAATTTACATAGGGAAGCAAGTATGCGAACAGCCGCGCATTAGTACAACTGTCCAATAAAATCCAATAAACAATTAATTTTAGATTTGTTGGACATAAAAATTCATATTCATTATTGTTGTATTCTACTCCTTAAAACATGGAATGGCTGATTTATTTGAACTAATTGCTTGATGTTGAAGTTCTAAGGCATCCCATTGCACCTCATGAATAAGATTTAACCTCAATGTTTAAGATCATGAGTCAGTTGAAGCTAAACCACCACAGTAAACCTGCAAGCACTGGGCGGCCGTTTTGTCCTATTGTAGCACTCCTCAGAAGTGCGCATCCACGACCTCGCCCCCTGCAAGATTCGAACCCAGGACATACTGGTTTCGCGCGCGAGCACTTAACCACTAGACCAGTGAGCCGGCATCCAATTGTGTTATTGTCTAACTTCAACTAATCCACGGATTATATTTAATTCAGATAATTGGGAAGAGAGACGATCGATGGGCTAGATACGTTGAGATGAATCAGATGATTCTGTAAAGAATAAAAGAAGCTTTTGCTTAATAGTCGTCCATATTGAGTGACCGTGCATCACCAGCGCCTATAGACGGAAACCTAGGTGTATTTACGAATTAAACAGTAAAAATAATAGCAAATTATAGTGAGAAACTATCCTCAGTCCTCACGAATATGTCACGTTTCCTCTTAGGAGACTCTTGAGAAGTCTCTCGGACGACCTCGACTGGTAACGAATTTCAGTATTCGGCTACTCTTAAGGAGTGGGAGGTGTGCCTTTAGCCCGTGACGCTACGATGCATATCCAATTTCTGGGTATAACCCTAAGTATTATATTTTCACACTGATTTTCAGTAGGTATTCAAGAGAATGTTCGGAAGTGTTTAGGATTCTGTGGGTCATTAAAAGGTCACTTCTAATACGTCTATACTCTAATGGATAGAGGTTAAGTGATTTGAAGCGCACTTCATAAGTCCTGAATTTGAGTTCCCCAATTGGTCAGATAGAACGTTTTACCGCCGAAATGACCAAAAATGAGCTTCAAGTCACTAGTGCAGGGTTTGATCGGCAGACATCTCTGTCTCAGCGTAGGACTTCAGATCATGGAGTAGCCAAACTCCTAGGTATTCGTCAACACGAGATGCATCTAGCCGGGACTACCTAAGCTGCATGCGTTGTCTGCAACATGTTTCACATGAATCACTGTACACTTCGAAGTGTTAAAGAAGAGTCCGTTGTTTTCCACCCAAATTTGAAGTCTAGTCAGATACACCAGAAGTGCCAGCTAATCATCTTAGTTTTACACTTCTCTCCAGAGTTTTACATCGTCAGTGAAATGTCTTACGTCAGATGATGCTTTAAGAGGAATGTCGTTTAAATCAACGTAACGAAAGAAGAGGTCCCAGTAACGAATCGTGGTGAACGCCACTAGCTTTTGGGAATTCAAAGAATATGATTCTGACCCTCCCTTCGAGATCAACGATAGTTGTCTATCTGACCATCATCGTCAGCTGGTTGGCAAAATGAAGAAATATCTATACACATAAATCGAATTTCTGAAAACACGATTATTTGATGCGATGAGAGTAATACTCACAAATTGTAGAGGGTGTGATTTGGAATTTGAACGGTCAGATGCTTTGACCTCGAAAAGCAACTTTTGGTACCGCCAGATTTATGAACTGTCTAATGGTGGAGGGTTTACCATCATGAGCTCACAGTCTTCTCTGAATGATATATCGAATGCTATCAGACAAGAGATTATACGATTCGAAAGTGTTCATCCAAACATCTATGCTATATACGACCTTATTGATGCAGTTGAGGATAAAAATTTGGCAGAATCATTGCGTCAGTTAATTGTGTCAATTGAAGGTACCGTATCATTTGTCAATCAAACTTTTCGTCTCTTAGACGCATTCGTCAATAGTCAGGAGTTGACACGGAGTGGCCATGTCAAGATTGAATCCTGTTCGTTCAATCTAACTGAGCAGACCATATCCGAACGAAAAGGAATATCCTTTTTTAGACGCTGAAGTCTCTGATACAATAAATCGGCGCTCATGTTCACTTTTGTTCAGTTGCACGTGAAGCTTTCGACGATGTAGCAAGTATGGGCCGGTTGAAATGCCAGAAAGTACTGTTCCGCCAAAAGGTCAGCGACATCACCAACGTTTTTGGTTGAACATTTAGGTTCGATTCTGGCTTGTCGAAGAGAAGTTACATGACGTAAGAAACTTTACGGAGTGAAAGCAAATTTATCAATAAGCTTAACCTGAAACTGAATCCTGTCTTCCTTTTTGCTTTATTGCATTGGTTCCTTGCTTCCTTGCAATGGCTATATGTACTGTTGCCACTATTTCGTTTGTATTCCGCTCATTAGTACTCTTGCGTTGTAGATCACCAACGTAGATGATGTATGTCGAAAATGACTGGAGGCCTACTCGACTTAGACGTGAATGGTGTGACGAACCAGCTAACCTCGAACTTGTAGTGGCATTGGACAATAGCCACACAATCCACAAAGCTGTGAACACGAGACTACTCAGAAAATAGATATTCAATATTTAACGCGGAGAAATACCTAACAATGGAGAAGGCGCGAACAATGAATTGAATGGACTGGAGTTGATCGAGTGGCATGGCTCGGCCATGCAGGCGTGGTCACTTCTGAATGTTACCTTATATCTTCTATTCATATTAAATATATTGTTCTTTCTCTAGCCTAACCTTGTTCTACATCATGTATTGGTAATTGATACGATACAGTGAGTTGGTGTAGTCGATGGTGTGACTTCCACGTAAGATCTTATAGATTAGGCAGTTATATCATGACAAATCTACAAATTTAGGATTAGGTCTATTATTAGAGCAGTACTAATATCATAGTAGACCATAGTTCTACATTGGTGAGCCCAACTAAAGAAACGCAACCTATTATTGTTAATCCTTATTTCCACCTTAACCTTCTCAATCGGTTTTTATTTTTGTAAACCCAGTATTCTAATAGTCCTTTGATTAATGGTCACATATATTATCGTAATGTTATATCTATTAGTTCACATAACTTACTAGCTCAATCGATAATAAAAGTTGATCATCTATATTAACTAATTAGCTTTGATGGTTCGTTAACAAGCTTTAATAGCATTTACATGCTTCAGCGACATAGACTTGTTTAAACATCAAGCTCTAGCAAATATGACCTGTAAATAGCGTAAATATACATTGACTAACAATGCAATCAAGGACTAAATACTTATCTGGATCTAATTATCAGTGTTCCTTCACCTAACACCTCATCCTGTTTTAAACTATGCACTATCCTGTAATATCTTTCTTCTGACCACTGCCTGCCTAATTTCATATTTTCGAGTTCCATTGCCAAACAACAAGGATGACAATTCTCCAAAAACATACGGTGAGTTTCAGCTATAGGTTTTCTGCAATCATAAGGTCATTTTAGATAACTCGTTCAATGGCGACCACACAAGTATCTGGATTCATTCAATTGTTCTGATCCGAGCGAGTGGCAAAAACGTCAACAGCATCAAGCTACCCGGAATTAATTGCCATACTGCATGTTTTATTCTGGATACTTTTGGATCATTACTACTCCTCACGAATGTCGTTATATATGTCGTCCACTGAATAATCTAATTTTCAAAAATAACCAGGCGAGTTCAACTATTTTACTTAATGAATTTTTTGTACTTAACATGTATATGTTTTCCAGTTGCTTTTGCCATATATTTGTAAGTGTCCCTAGGCTAAATGCAGTAACTTCTTATGGAATGTTTATAACGCGTCATATTCCTGCCTGAAGTTTCACAAGCAGTCTTAACTTTAAAATTATTTTCTGGTCATGTTCATTATTTTTAAATTGTCATATACGTCAACAACCTGCATGTTAACCTGGCCCATACATACGTTACACTATATCTTCATGTCTTCTAAATTTAGAAATCATCTGAATCGCCTTTAACATTTATCAATAAACCCATCATAGTCGTTGTTGCTAATCGTATTTGGGTTTATGGATTGGTTTATCATATTAGCAGCCTAAAATGCGAACATAGTTTAGATAATAAGATTAAAAATTTAGGTACTATCAACTGCACTAGTAAAATAACTAAATCCCTAGGTAGCTGTTGGCTAAACAAACGTTTAAAATCAAAACTCCGTAGCCTACTAGAATTAACACTAAACGAATATTTCTGAATTGAAATTTATAATTAAATTAGGCGTCTCGGATTCTTTAACGTTATAAATTTCTGATAATTTCGAATCACCTAAAGCAACAATACCTATTTTTCCACTGACTAATCCTCAATCAACACTATAACTAGTTAAACATAATAGTTTCAGGATATCGTCATAAAGCATTGTCATGACTTGACAATCACGTAATATGATTGATAAAATTAATGAAACTATTAACAAAATCGGTCAGCAAATTGACTTATAATATCACTAGTGTTGTTTTTCTTTTATCTTCATTCACTACAGATGATTACAGTATGTTTCTCTATCAGTTGCTCATTCAGTAAATATCTCAAAACCTTGTCAGTCTAATTGATGGTTTAGCGACACAATCATGCATGCAAATAATCAGTATAAGCAGTCGAGCAAATCTCCTGCAAACTGAAAACATCAATGTCGAATTTACCCCAACACTGACTAAGGTTCAAGCCATTATCATAGACATGAGTTGGGAGTGTACTCCCCTGGTTACAACTTATGTTCTCCCTGATAATCACATGAGCATCACTCACTATTAATCATCTTGTAAAAACTTATTTAGCTAAATACATCTTGCAGCACCACATCACCTAGTAATGTGACACATAACTGATTTCAATAACTTATAACCACTATATCTCAATTAAATCGTATTCCGCCTTATGATAAACTGCATACTTGCAACTAACTTGTATGCCCAATCAGCCGCAAGTATAAATATGTATAAATAGACT